CACCGGGTAAGTAAGGAAATTGCCCGCCTATTAAAAAAAATAAGCATGCATATAAAATGAATACCTTCGAATGACCATGATTCATCCTATCTTCATCCAAGGCATCATCAATGCTAGGGGATTGAGGCGAACGGAGGAAATAGGGTGAAGACACTTTATAAACCAAGCGAGTTCCATTGTTTGGATGACGCGAATTAAAAGAAGAAACACGTCTATATATGCTGTAATTGGCTGAATTTGTATTCTTTGGGACTTGATTTGGCTGGCTTACTTCTTGGGATATAGGGTGAGTAAGAAGTTCGGATCGGACATCTAAATGATTCGGGATCACTGTTGGCTGGGTCTGAGGTCTTTGAGGGAATGCATTCGATAAAGTTCGTATAGGTTGTGGAGACGATATTCTCGGTACTTTGTTGAGAGGTTCGCTTAATGAGTTTGCATTCTCGATGATAGAATTAGGCAACGAAGATTGGGATACCCTCAGGGCTAAAAAGTAAGACACAAAGTAACGAAATATTTAACGAAAATGTAAGCAAGTAATACCACTTACTTTGGATCGGCTGAATGGAGAGGGAATTAGGCGAATCAGTGAGGAAATTAGACCCTGTAGGAGTCAAGGCACGTGACGCAAGGAAAGGCTTGTTCGCGCCTAAATTTAATACTATCTCAGGAGAACCAGGCGCTAAACTTTTAGGAGGAGCAGCAATAGGAAGAGGATATTTCCTGTTAGATGCTCCAATACAGAGACTGGAAGCTCGCCCATCCTTTGCGAACGCTGTGAGAAAATTAAAAAGCTGAATAGGGACAAATTACTAAAATATAACATACAGTTTGGATGACCTGGGATTGTTTATCATGTTGCAACCGGAGATCTGCTAACTCACGATAAAGTAGCTGATTTTCTGATTTAAGTATATTTATTTGATGTGTATTTAGTTCGTGTCTTGCCTGCATATGTTTTACCATCTGAGCAAGACGAGCGAATTCCTGCATCAAAACAAATCGTGTGGGACAATTAGAGGGGATATTTTCCCCAATAATCCCCGTATTTTGAGTAATAATAGGGGGTATTCCGACAGAATTTAATAATCGCCCATTCATGATGTGCTGGGGTAAAGCAGTGCTGGGGGGCTTTCTATGAATCCTTGCCAGAAGATAATCCTTTCCTCTTAAAAAGTAGGGGTGGCTAAATTCCATGTCTTCATTATCGATACCAAACCCTAAGCTGCCTTCAAGCCTGTTCATTTTTCTAAAACCGTCTGACCAGATAATTATAAAAAAACATACACATATTCAACTGGCGAATAAAGCTTGATAAGTTATTGTGTTTAAAGTACAACGGCAGAACTTCTTTTGCAAGACTATTCCCATCGCATATATGAAAACTCCTGCCACTCTAGCCAAGTCAAAAAAGAAAATAATAGATAGTACGGGGTCCCAGCAAATTAAGTTATTGGTATCATCATCATCAACAAGCCTCTTGAGTTTTGTGAGAAAAGCTGGGATAGACGGGGGATCGGCAGCTGCAGTCATCTTAGTTGACAAGCCAGAGCAAGGGAGCCTGGGACGATCAAGAGACAGTTAAACAAAATTACTAAATTGGTCACAAAAACCTAAGTGAAACCATCAAGTATGAATATACCATATATCAAAAAAGATTTTCAACTTAAGTAAAGGCTTAAATATGTATTATTATTTCTTGGCTGATCCAAGGCGGATATGGCCTGCTAAACTTGGTAAATACGTATTGTAACTCTGAAAATGACTCTTCGCCAATATAAACCTATTTTACTCATGGAATTATATCTAATTCTTCTGATAGTATAACTAGGAAAGCTT